AGCGGGGCCATGGGGGGTTCTGTGGAATGAGCTCTGGGCTCAGAGCACATCCCTGGAGAGCCCCAGGCTGGAGCTTTCCCTGCCCATGGCACGGATGAGCTTTGGGGTTTTTCCAAGCGGAACATTCCGTGATTTTCATTCCACAAGAATGTTTTTGCTCTCACAGCCTCGCAAGATTGAGGAGATCAAGGATTTCCTGCTGACAGCGCGGCGGAAGGACGCCAAGTGTGAGTGGGGGTCTCAGGCAGGACTGGGGGAGGCTCCAGCTCGTTCCCTGGGGGCGCTGAGGAGCTCCTTGCCCTGGGAACGCCGAGGGGTCGGGGCTGCCCTGGTCCCTCCTGTGGGGTGTCCCTGGAACGCTGCTCCCAGCTGTGCATGCCCTGAGGGGTGCAGCCAAACCCTGGAGGCAATTCCCAAATTTCCTCCTGCTCTGTGGGATGGTGCTGCTCTCCAGAAACAATTCCCAAACATGCCCCTGCTCTGTGGGATGGAAGCAATTCCCAAACATGCCCCTGCTCTGTGGGATGGTGCTGCTCTCCAGAAGCAATTCCCAAATTTCCCTGCTCTGTGGGATGCTGCCATGTGGAATGTTGGAGCTGTGCCACCACAGGTGATTCATCCATCACCCTCAACAGGAGATTTTTGTTGCCACCACAAATCGAGGATAATTGAGACAAAGAGCTGTCTTGTCTCACTGTTCAGCAACTCGGGAAGAGTTTTTTCCTCTCTAACTCCTCTTGTTTGGATCTGGCTGTGGCAGGAATCCCTCGGGAATCCTGTGACAAGGGAGAGTTGAGCACTGGCAGAGATTTTTCCTCCCCATCCTCATTCTGGAGGTTTCTGCACGGGGCAGGGCGTGCACTGGGATTCCCAGGGGTGACACCGGGGTGTCCCTGCTGTCCCCTCCTCCCCACAGCCGTCAAGATCAAGAAGAACAAGGACAATGTGAAGTTCAAGGTGCGCTGCAGCCGGTACCTCTACACCCTGGTCATCACCGACAAGGAGAAGGCAGAGAAGCTGAAGCAGTCCCTGCCCCCAGGTATCTGGGAATCGATCCCCTGTGGGGTGCTTGGGATTGAGGGGGGCTGTGAGAGCCCTCTGGAAGGGTCCCTGGAGCTCTTGCTGGGGTCAGTGCTTGGTGTTCCCATGGAACTGGAGGTTCCAGGCCCCCCATCCATGCCTGAGCCCCCCCAGTCCATGTTCTCCCCTCTCTCTTCTCCCCAGGTCTGGCCGTGAAGGAGCTGAAATGAGCCGGGAGCAGCTGGGTACTTGTTGGAGTCTCTGTGTTTGTTAAAATAAATAAAAAACTGTTCCTGGTGTCACGTGTGGT